TTCGTATTTGGTATTTTCCTCAAACAAAAAGTTGTATGCCAATAATCATAATAGAATATTGTTGGGAAAAAAGAACTTCCGTAACTTTTAGTTACAAATCCTTAATTCATAACAAAAACATTTTGTAACAAAAACTTTACAAGAGGTTATGAACTTATCAAGAAATCGTAACAAAATTAATGATTCTATCGTAATCCTTTCATAATCCAAAAATCGCAGCATTTCATGTACACCAAAATCCAAAATCGTAGCCTTTAGTAAACCAACTCAATGTTAACTTGTTTTCTCTCTAAACTCTCCACAGAATCGAAACGATGAGGCTAGCACCATAATTCAGTCACCTAACGAGTGTTTGAGTGTACATGATACGCTGAAAAGCATAGGATACAAGTTGCTTTATTTTTCATTAGGTATAACCATACAAGAGCACGTTACCTTCTTTTCATTGACACATTAAGAAAATTATAGCTGCCAATTAAAAATCAAGTTTTTTTATTAACCTGGATATCCAACCCGTTATGCGAGCCGACTAATCCCAAGGCGACCACCTGTTTTGCAGATGGCATGTAGTCACCGCATTTGAACCTCATGGCTACAAGAGGATTTTTAGTCCTCCTTGGATTTGAACCTGAGACATCCTAATATTTTTGATATTTGGAGTCAATCTCAAACAAATCAGGCACCACTCTTGTAGTTTAAAAAAAAAAGACAATATAATTATCTAAACAAACAAACACAAAAAGAATTTAAGTGTAACTTGCTGGAAGTATTGACTCAAAAGATAAGTGCATGTTGAATGGATTAGAAGGGTAGGGTTCCACTACATACCATTCAAGTTAAAATTGGTTATTGTTCCTATAGAGAAAAATATGTAAATATAATAATTGAACAATGTCTTCATTAATTATTATGACACAATATTCCAAACAGATTCACCCAATGATTGGTTTTTAAAAATATACACTAACAAAAACCTGATAAAACGAAAGCTATACTATAAATGCTAAACATAAGTCTAATTAAACAAACTAAATTAATTTAACCAAAACATAAAATGAATTTAAAAATATGGATATGCATAACTACTTAATCAAATAGAAATAAAATAAATACAATTTAATATTAAATATATTAAAATAATCTAAACTAAAATACAAAATTAAAAGACTAATGAAGTACTTTCAACTCTTTTTGTATGATAACATTTCTATCAATCGTTTTCTTGACATTCAACTCTTATTGTATGAGTCGCGTTGTAAAGACTTCACTTTCTCTTGACCGGCCGTGTAAAAAATGGAAGGGGAGCTATCAAAATTCAAAACATTAAAAATAAGATCTATAAATAAACATGATGAAAGAGTTTTCAAATTACCCCCTTCATCTTTCACCAAATTGCCATAAGTTTTATTTTGGATGCTACAAGTTGACATCAAGATCCTTTATCTTTATACTATTTCACTTCACCCATCCACAAAATTCAATCTTCAAACCACAATCATGATGTCTGGTTAGTTTGAGTTTGACTCCAAAGGTCAAAAGTACCTGGAGGTTCCAGGTTCAAATCCAAGGAGAAATAAAAGTCCCCTTGTAGCCACGGAGATTCAAATACGATGATTCCGAACTATCTGCAAAGCAGATGATCGTTTTATATTAGTCGGCTCGCATAACGGGTTGGATGTCCAGGTTAATAAAAAAAAAAAATCAATCTTCATATATGTTCATGATTTTAATATAAAACATGTCACGATCCAATGAGAATCACATAAATACCAAAATAATATCTTCAACGATGATTAAACGAAAATCAGATAAAAATTACGTGTAAACAATGAAACTAGACGTAGTTATAAATTAACATGATGCGTTCATAAAATGCATTTAAAACATTGAATGTGAACATGATTTAGGGAAGAACATCATAACCTATACGAACAGGAGTTGCATATGTGATTCTACATCCATGAATTCGTAATTTTTTCGTAATTTTCAAATCATAATCCATCATATTTCTAAACCTTTCATAAACCATTCATAATATAATAAAAGTTATTGTTTGTTTTTTGTAAACTGACAAACGTCTGAAGTCTGAACCAATAGTTTGTTTTTTGTAAAACCAGGTGCAAAGTTTTTGCAAAATTCTCTTGATTTTCATAAAATTCTCATTGCTGAAATTCATCTCAACAACTGCTTAACAGATGGAACACAGTAAGAACCTTCTGGATGCCTTTCAGACTTCTGATGCTATCGGGATTGACACCGATGAGTTTGTTTGTGGAAAGATCGATACTTTTGATAAATGATAGATCACAAATAGAAGTTTTTATTTCATATTAATCTTCTAAGCTAACCTATACGTACAAAAATTATATATATATATACACACACACACACACACACATATATATATATATATATAGAGAGAGAGAGAGAGAGAGAGAGAGAAAAGGTGGGGGCTTTCATTTCACATGGGCGATGAAAGAACGGTGGCGTCCTTGGTGAAGAAAGAAGCAATAGCCAAAGAGAATCAAAGAAAAGAGGAAATAAGAGCAATTAAGAAATTAGTTTACCTCTTATTTATTCAGACCCTATTAAGTGATAA